GGAGGGAGAGTGTGTAACACTTCCAGGGGAGCCGAGCTCTTCCGGGCAGGCACCGGAGACCATAGGTGGGGTGCCGCTTGGTGAGGACAGGGCCGTGGAGGCCACCATTGACTCAGTGCTCCACGACCTGTTAGGAACCTCTGGTGAGGTCTCCATTGAGGGGCTTGTGGGTGCCCTGGAGTCTGCAGCGGTTCCAGGTGTGGGGAGAGGGCATGTCGGAGGCCCAAGTTGATGCTGGTTTGCAAATTGGTATTGTGGTGGCAGAAGTGCACGAGGATGGCTTCTGGGTGGAGGCTGGGAGGAAGGCTTGAGGGTCACGGAAGAGAGCAGCCATGATCTCGGATATGGACGATGTGTTCACTCTGGCACAGCATTCGGGTAAAAAGGTTTGGGCGGATGTGGAGGAGCGTGGACCTGGTAGGTCCAGGGGCAAGGGACCTGTGAAAGGAGGTCCCAGAGGGGCATATGAGGACCAAGGAAGTATTAGGAGGAAGGGGGAAAGGGGTGTAGCAGTGTGTAAAGGCAAACCTCCTTTGATGGTTTCAAGAGTCTCTCTAGAAATGTTAATGGACTGAGAAACGATAGGAAGTGTGCATGGTTTCGTGAGCTTCTCATTAGGTATGGTGTAGATGTTGTGTTTATACAAGAGCACAGCCACAAGCCGGGTTGTATGTTGATGATTGAGGGGTACACTGTATATATGGCACACTCACCGAGATCGAAAGGAGGAGTGGCTATTTTGATGAGGGAGGCTAGCCCATTTACTGTACATCATTGTGAGGAGGGAGGGGAGGGGAGGGTTATACAAGTGGATAGGATGTGGGGAAGGGAGAAGATATCCTTTGTGTGTGTCTATGGTCCGGCAGAGGGGGACAGTCGGGTAAAGAATGAGTTTGTGCATGATGTGTTGGTATATCACCTGAGGTCGCTTCTGGCGGTAGCTGTGGTGGTAGGTGAGTGGAATTGTGTGAAACATCATAGGGATGTCGAACCTAGGGTGGCGGGATATTGTTCTGGCGTTTTGAGGGAGCTGCTAACTGGGGTGGGGTTGGTGGATGTTGGGGAGTGAAGCATGGGAGGCGGAGCACACCTTTGTGAGGTAGGGGTATGTGGCAAGGCTGGACAGAATATACGTAACGAGAAAAGCAGTGGTTTGGAGAGTAAGTGTCTGTGATGTGTTTTTTTTCAGATCACAAAGGTGTTTTTGTGGAATTGGGATGGGAGGGATGGCTGAACAGGTATAAGAGCTATTGAAAACTGAATGTTTGGTTACTCCAAGATGTCGAGGGGAGGGTCTTATTTGCACGTTTGAGGGAAAGTTTGTGGGATGGGGCACGTGTGAAGGTGGATGTGTTGAGCTGGTGGGATACAACGGCGAAGACGAGGATTCGAGAATTCTATGTTCGCCAGGGAAGGCATGAGAATCAGCTGGCTTATGGCTTATTAGGTGTCTTGAGGGGCAGTTAAGGGAGTATTATGAGAGAGGAGGGGTGATGGGGGCCGCAGTGGCAGACATAGAGGGATTGAAGGAAAGACTAAATGAATTGCAAAATGAGCGGTTCGATGCAGTAAGGGTTTTAGGGGGGTTAGAGGAGGTCATATGGGGTGATAGGCCATCAGTGTGTGTCCTACGAGGGCAGGCGCGTCGGTGCATTGCTATGGAAATGGTAGGATTGCCGGTCCACAAGGATATCAAGGGGTATAGAGAGGGGCACGAGCTGGTTACAACAGAGGAGATGGGGGGTATGTTGATGCTTGGCTTAGTGCATATATGAGAAGTGCGGGTGTGAGTGAGGGGGCGTTAAGGGAGATGGGAGATTGGGTGCAGTGTGTGCTTGGCAGGGGCGACAGGGAACAGTTACAGGGGACTATCATTGAGGAGGAGGTGTGGACGGCATTAATGGGTATGAGTCAGGGTAAGGCGCCGGGGGTAGATGAACTGCCTGCCGACTTTTATATACAGCATTGGGGTGTATTGAAGGACTTTTTGGTGCACTTGTTTAATATGAAAGAGCGGGGTGAGTTGCGGGAGTTGCAAGTTAGTTTAATATGTTTATTATGCACCCCATACCCATCCTGTGGGCGGTAGTCACCCCATACCCATCCTGTGGGCGGTAGTCAAAAGATTACAAAGGTACATAATGGGTCCAGTGACTGGACCCCAAAGTTATGATAGCTGAACTGGGAGTTGCAAGCGACAGGAATTTTAGTTTTGGTACCAAAGGGTGATAATCAGTACACGGTGAGGGATTATCGAATGATATCACTCATGTGTGTAGACTACAAACTCTTTGCAAAAATTTTGGGAAACCATATTAAGAGAGACTAGACATAGTGTGACTTTACTCACGTGTGTGTGCACACACACACACATACACACACACACACACACACACACACACAAACACACACACATACACACACACATACACACAAGCGAGACTGAACCTAGTATTCACCTTGAGTAGTGCAGATATTGAGGACATCACATATGAAAGACCCCTTGGGGCCAGCGATCATGTGGTTTTAAGATTCGAATGCACAGTAGAGTTACAAGTGGAGGGAGGAACAGGAAGAGCCGAACGAATGAAGCCAAACTACAAGAAGGGGACCTACATGGGAATGAGGAACTTTCTGAACGGGGTCCGGTGGGACAGAGAACTGGCAGGGAAGTCAGTAAACGAGATGGAATATGTGACAGCAATATGCAAGGAAGCTGAGGAGAGGTTCATACCCAAGGGTAACAGGAATAATGAAAAGCCAGGATGAGCCCATGGTTCACCCAAAGGTGCAGGGAGGCAAAAACCAAGTGTGCTAGGGAATGAAAAAAGTATAAACGGCAAAGGACCCAGGAGAATAAGGAGAGCAGTCATAGAGCCAGAAATAAATATGCACAGGTAAGAAGGGAGGCCCAACGACAATATGAAAATGACATAGCACCAAAAGCCAAATCTGACCCAAAGCTGTTATACAGCCACATCAGGAGGAAAACACTCAAGGACCAGGTAATCAGGCTAAGGAAGGAAGGAGAGATCACAAGAAATGACCACGAAGTATGTGAGGAACTCAACATGAGATTCAAAGAAATGTTCACAGAGGAGACGGAAGGGACTCCAGAAAGGAGGAGAGGTGGGGTACATCACCAATTGCTGGACACAATACATACAACAGAGGAAGAAATGAGGCTGCTGAACGAGCTAGATACCTCAAAGGCGATGGTGCCGGATAACATCTCCCCATGGGTCCTGAGAGAGGGAGCAGAGGTGCTGTGTACCCCTAACAAGAATATTTAACACATCTATCGAAACAGGGAGATTACCTGAGGTATGAAAGACAGGAAATGTAGTCCCAATTTTTAAAAAAGAGACATGTATAGTATGCAAAGTCATGGAGAAGATTATCAGGAGAAGAGTGGTGGAACACCTAGAAAGGAATGAGCTTATCAACAACAGCCAACACGGTTTTAGGGACTGGAAATCCTGTCACAAACCTACTGGAGTTCTATGACAGGGTGACAGCAGTAAAACGAGAGAGAGAGAGAGAGAGAGGGGTGGGTAGATTGCATTTTCATGGACTGTAAGAAGACGTTTGACACAGTTCCACACAAGAGATTAGTGCAAAAACTGGAGGACCAGGCAGTGATATCTGGGAAGGCATTACAATGGATAAGGGAATACCTGTCAGGAAGACAGCAGCGAGTCATGGTATGTGGCGAGGTGTCAGAGTGGGCGCAAGTGATGAGTGGGTTTCCACTGGGGTCAGTCCTAGGACCAGTGCTGTTTCTGGTATTTGTGTACGACATGACGGAAGGAATAGATTTGGAAGTGTCCCTTTTCGCAGATGATGTGAAGTTGATGAGAAGAATTCATTCGGACGAGGACCAGGCAGAACTACAAAGGGATCTGGACAGGCTGCAGTCCTGGTCCTGGAATTGGCTCCTGGAGTTCAGCCCCACCAAGTGCAAAGTCATGAAGATTGGGGAAGGGCAAAGAAGACTGCAGACGGAGTACAGTCTAGGGATTCAAAGACTACAAGTCTCACTCAAGGAAAACGATCTCGGGGTGAGCATAACAGCAGGCACATCTCTTGAGGCATAAATCAACCAAATAATTTATGCAGCATATGGGCACCTAGCAAACCCAAGAATAGCATTCCTACATCTTTATAAGGAATCGTTCAGGACCCTGTACACCGTGTACGTTAGGCCCATATTGGAGTATGTGGCACCAGTTTGGAAACCCACACCTAGCCAAGCACGTAAAGAAACTAGAGAAAGTGTAAAGTTTGCAGCAAGACTAGTCCCAGAGCTAAGAGGTATGTCCTACGAGGAGAGGCTATATAGATATGTTTGTTTGTTTCTGTGTGTGTGTCTGCGTCTGTATCTGGGTGTGTGTGCCTATGTCTGTGTCTCTGTGTGTCTGTACTCACCTAATTGTGGTTGCAGGGGTCGAGACTCGGCTCCTGGCCCTGTGTGCGGTACAGGGTCCTGAACGATTCCTTATTAAGATGTCGGAATGCTATTCTGAGGTTTGCTAGGCGCCCATATGTTGCAGCAGTTATTTGGTTGATGTGTGCCTCAGGAGATGTGCCTAGTGTTATACTCACCCCAAGATCTTTTTCCTTGAGTGAGGTTTGTAGCCTCTGGCCCCCTAGACTGTACTCCATCTGCAGTCTTATTTGCCCTTCCCCAATCTTCATGACTTTGCACTTGGTGGGATTGAACTCCAGGAGCCAATTGCTGGACCAGGTCTGCAGCCTGTCCAGATTCCTTTGTAGTTCTGCCTGGTCTTCGATCAAATGGATTCTTCTCATCAGCTTCACGTCATCTGCAAACAGGGACACTTTGGAGTCTATTCCTTCCGTCATGTCGTTCACAAATACCAGAAACAGCACTGGTCCTAGGACTGACCCCTGTGGGACCCCGCTGGTCACAGGTGCCCACTCTGACACCTCGCCACATGTGTGTGTCTGTGTCTTTGTATGTACATATACTTTATCACCTTTACAGTAGGAGACGTTGAAGGAGGCTGTGGCATTACTGTCGTGAAGGAGACACGTATACCGGCCAACATGATTCTTATTGATGTTGGCAAAAGGTATACCAGGGCAGGAGTGTGAACCAGAAGGGATAGTGTTGTCCTTCAGCGCTCCATAAGCTGTCCACACCATGAGAGAGATGGTTAGTACACAGTCATTTTGCCTTAAAGTGGTAGACTGTAACACTTGGGTATAATGGAACCCCGGTGCTCGAACGTATTGGACCTCGAACAAATTGAAATCTGAATAATTATGTTCAGAGAAAAATGACCCGGTCTTTGAACGTTTTGCTGGAGTCAGAATGCATTGACTTGTTTAAAATTCAGTTGCAAAAAACTTTACAGGAAAGCCCTGTTTCAAAAGTGCTTTGTAGTGACCTCTGACCTGACTTTCAGAGACTTTTGAAGAGTCAGTTCAACATCCTCAAGTGTGTGAGGCTCATAAATAAAGCCTGAGAAATACTGTTTCGGACATCGAACTTCTCGCAGTTCAAACACCACCTTGGAACCAATTAAGTTCACACACCGGGGTTCCACTGTATATGATACAGTTCAACTAGTCATCCGCACTCGGCCTTACCAACACACATCAATATTTACATGTTTAAATGCATTTATTCATAGTCATAAGTAAGACTTCAACTTATATTGTAGCTTGTAGTCAATCCTTATCTTTGTTGTATTGTGTGACAACATCTATGATTTCCTTTATGGATGAATCAACTGCTGTAGTAGTGGCCCGTCTACTGGGGGGAGGTGGGGAATAAAGGTGAAAGCCCAAGAAGCAATTTTTATAATTATAGGCTAATTATCACTGTATTATACTGAGTAGTTGACCATCCTTGAGGACCATTAGCTTTCCTACAGTGCTCCTTTTTCTTGTTCTTAGACTTACTCCACTTCTAAATCCACTACTACTACTTTATTACTACTGCTACCACCACCACCACCACCACCACCACAACAACAACAACAACAACTACTACTAATACTAATGCTTCGCTTCACTCCCCTTTCTGTCCCTTGTGCCAATACCACTACCAGCGTTACCTCTACCGCTGCTTCTCCGTTTTCTACATTCTTGCGCTCTTCGTTCCGTCCATGCCCCTCTCTCATATATATTGAGTCCCTCACCTTCCTGTGTTACTGTGACCTGTAAATGGTCCAAGTTGGACTGAAACATCGTCATCAACTTATCTCTCCTATATACGGGTTATAGATAGAAAATTTTACATTTTTTATTTTTTTATTATCACACTGGCCGATTCCCACCAAGGCAGGGTGGCCCGAAAAAGAAAAACTTTCACCATCATTCACTCCATCACTGTCTTGCCAGAAGGGTGCTTTACACTACAGTTTTTAAACTGCAACATTAACACCCCTCCTTCAGAGTGCAGACACTGTACTTCCCATCTCCAGGACTCAAGTCCGGCCTGCCGGTTTCCCTGAACCCCTTCATAAATGTTACTTTGCTCACACTCCAACAGCACGTCAAGTATTAAAAACCATTTGTCTCCATTCACTCCTCTCAAACACGCTCACGCATGCCTGCTGGAAGTCCAAGCCCCTTGCACACAAAACCTCCTTTACCCCCTCCCTCCAACCTTTCCTAGGCCGACCCCTACCCCGCCTTCCTTCCACTACAGACTGATACACTCTTGAAGTCATTCTGTTTCGCTCCATTCTCTCCACATGTCCGAACCACCTCAACAACCCTTCCTCAGCCCTCTGGACAACAGTTTTGGTAATCCTGCACCTCCTCCTAACTTCCAAACAACGAATTCTCTGCATTATATTCACACCACACATTGCTCTCAGACATGACATCTCCACTGCCTCCAGCCTTCTCCTCGCTGCAACATTCATCACCCATGCTTCACACCCATATAAGAGCGTTGGTAAAACTATACTCTCATACATTCCCCTCTTTGCCTCCAAGGACAAATTTTACATATGTACCGAAAATTATAAAAATATTTCCTTGAAATCCAGCTGTCACCCCAGATTAAAAGTCTGTATCCATAACAAGTTTATTTCCACTGCCTGAACACTGGTGACAGATCACTCCTCTACTGGAAAAAATTCCTCTTGCCTCACATGCAGCAGAGAGAGGAATGAGTGAAAGGCAGAGTACCTCACACTAACACATTAATAATCTTGGGAAAGGAGAAAATATATATATATATATGTATATATATATATATATATATATATATATATATATATATATATATATATATATATATATATATATATATATATATATATATAATATATATATTTATATATATATATATATATATATATATATATATATATTATATATATATATATACAGTGGCCCCCCGGTTAACGATATTTTTTCAATCCAGAAGTATGTTCAGGTGCCAGTACTGACCGAATTTGTTCCCATAAGAAATATTGTGAAGTATATTAGTCCATTTCAGACCCCCAAACATACACGTACAAACGCACTTACATAATACACTTACATAATTGGTCGCATTCGGAGGTGATCGTTATGCGGGGGTCCACTGTATATATATATAATCTCATATATACTTGATGTTTGTGACACTAGGGATGTCTTACCTGTACATTTCCCATCTGATGAGCATTTATAAACTTGTATATCATCAAGGGAGCAAGTAAAGTCTTGATTGGCCAGCGGCTGCCCTTCATGGTAAATGGTGAGGCAGTAGTTAGACATATCCCTTGAGTTCTTTATAACACAGTCTACTGCCTTATCTTCATATGTTAGACCAATTGTGATCTCTGAGGCTGGACAACACACTGGGATGCCTGAGGCAAATGACACAGTAGAATATACTTTAAAACTGAGGTAGCAACACAGGTGATATAATGGGTGTAGGTAGCAACACTGGTGATATAATGGGTGTAGGTAGCAACACAGGTGATATAATGGGTGTAGGTAGCAACACAGGTGATATAATGGGTGTAGGTAGCAACACAGGTGATATAATGGGTGTAGGTAGCAACACAGGTGATATAATGGGTGTAGGTAGCAACACAGGTGACATGAGGAGTGTATGAAAGAATATAGGTTATTTGAGATATAGGTAGTAACACTAGTGCTATGATAGATGTAGGTACCAGCACAAGTGGATGTAGGGGGTGTAGGTAGTAACAATAGTGGTATGATAGATGTAGGTACCAGCACAAGTGGATGTAGGGGGTGTAGGTAGTAACAATAGTGGTATGATAGATGTAGGTACCAGCACAAGTGGATGTAGGGGGTGTAGGTAGTAACAATAGTGGTATGATAGATGTAGGTACCAGCACAAGTGGATGTAGGGGGTGTAGGTAGTAACAATAGTGCTATGATGGATGTAGGTACCAGCACAAGTGGGTGTAGGGGGTGTAGGTTTGTAACACTAGGCTATGATGGATGTAGGTACCAGCACAAGTGGATGTAGGGGGTGTAGGTAGTAACACTAGTGCTATGATAGATGTAGGTACCAGCACAAGTGGGTGTAGGGGGTGTAGGTAGTAACAATAGTGCTATGATGGATGTAGGTACCAGCACAAGTGGATGTAGGGGGTGTAGGTAGTAACAATAGTGCTATGATATATGTAGGCACCAGCACAAGTGGGTGTAGGGGGTGTAGGTAGTAACAATAGTGCTATGATGGATGTAGGTACCAGCACAAGTGGGTGTACAGGGGTGTAGGTAGTAACAATAGTGCTATGATAGATGTAGGTACCAGCACAAGTGGGTGTAGGGGGTGTAGGTAGTAACAATAGTGCTATGATAGATGTAGGTACCAGCACAAGTGGGTGTAGGGAGTGTAGGTAGTAACAATAGTGCTATAAGATAAGATAAGATTTCGTTCGGATTTTTAACCCCGGAGGGTTAGCCACCCAGGATAACCCAAGAAAGTCAGTGCGTCATCGAGGACTGTCTAACTTATTTCCATTGGGGTCCTTAATCTTGTCCCCCAGGATGCGACCCACACCAGTCGACTAACACCCAGGTACCTATTTGCTGCTAGGTGAACAGGACAACAGGTGTAAGGAAACGTGTCGAAATGTTTCCACCCGCCGGGAATCGAACCCGGGCCCTCCGTGTGTGAAGCGGGAGCTTTAGCCACCAGGCTACACCACCAGGCTACACCAGAGGGTGTAGGTAGTAACAATAGTGCTATGATGGATGTAAATATCAACACAAGTGGGTGTAGAGGGGTGTAGGTAGTAACAATAGTGCTATGATAGATGTAGGTACCAGCACAAGTGGGTGTAGGGGGGTGTAGGTAGCAACATATGTGACTGAGAGGTGTAAATATCACTACAGGTCTTATAAGAGGTGCAGATAGGAACACAGGAAGAGCAAATTCCCAGGACAACTATGACGGAACATAGAATGAAAACCTAAAAGGGGGCACACATCTTTTAAAATCGAAAATGTACAAAAACCGGAAAAAAAGGATATCGTAGAAAAAAAAATTATTGTAAGATTCCAGTATTTAAGAAGACAAAAATCTGGTTGGATCTCATTTATAATAAATATTTATTAAATATTTTCCTTCACAAAAATCTGAAAGTTCATCGAGCCAAGAATTTAAAATATTTGTAAACTTATGTGATGGACCTGAATGGATTTAGGAAAATCGAAATTGAAAATGTTAGGCAAAAGGACACATGGGCAGCTAATGTGACATTTTACTCCGTCAACGTTTCACTCTCCAGGAGCCTTGTCAAGTTGAAACGTGACAAGCGCGAAACATTGCCGCAGTAAATTGTCGGTGATCCTACCGGTGCTGTTACAAGTTTGTAATGAATCCAAATTTTGCATTGAAAACAATAGTGAAGAAAATAGTGAAGTTTGTCAAACAACCTTTCGCCCTAACAACGTTTCACTCTAACAATGTTTCGCCCTAACAACGTTTTGCTCTAACAATGTTTTGCCCTAACAACGTTTTGCTCTAACAATGTTTCGCCCTAACAACGTTTTGCTCTAACAACCTTTCGCCCTAACAACGTTTCGCTCTAACAATGTTTCGCCCTAACAACGTTTTGCTCTAACAATGTTTCGCCCTAACAACGTTTTGCTCTAACAATGTTTCGCCCTAACAATGTTTCGCTCTAATAATGTTTTGCCCTAAAAACGTTTCACTCTAACAATGCTTCACCCTAACAGTGTTTCGTTCTAACAATGTTTTGCCTTACAACGTTCCACTCTAACAATGTTTCGCCCTAACACTGTTTCACTAACAATGTTTCGCCCTAACAACGTTTCATTCTAACAATGTTTCGCTCTAACAACGTTTTGCTCTAATAATGTTTGCTCTAACAACATTTTGCTCTAACAACGTTTCACTCTAACAATGTTTTGCTCTAACAACGTTTTATTCTAATAATGTTTCGCCCTAACAACGTTTCGCTCTAACAACGTTTCATCCTAACTTTTTTCTGCTTACAATAAAATTAATTAAAATAAACAAATAACAATAAAAGCTTAACCCGTATGGGTCATACAGAGCCTGAGGAAGTTAAGAGAGATTTCGTTCGGATTTTTAACCCCGGAGGGTTAGCCACCCAGGATAACCCAAGAAAGTCAGTGCGTCATCGAGGACTGTCTAACTTATTTCCATTGTGGTCCTTAATCTTGTCCCCCAGGATGCGACCCACACCAGTCGACTAACACCCAGGTACCTATTTGCTGCTAGGTGAACAGGACAATAGGTGTAAGGAAACGTGTCGGAATTTCCACCCGCCGGGAATCGAACCCGGGCCCTCCGTGTGTGAAGCGGGAGCTTTAGCCACCAGACCACCGGGCCACCCCGGTATGATCCAAGGGAAAGAGAGTAGCTGCAAGTCCTTGGATCAAGTGCCCTTCACCAGCAGCAAGGTACCTGCCCCTTCACTCTCGCTAAAATTATGAATGTAAAAATATTTAGAGATATCTCTAGTAAAGATAACTTTAATTTCTCTGGGGCTGGAGAGGTTGCATTAGCCAGTTAGATTGAGAGGGTTTTAAAATTGCATTTATTCTATAGTCATTAAGTCAAGACTTCAACCTCTTTTGTGCTTGTAGTCAAATCCTTATATTTGTTTGTATTTGTGATGTGACAACTTCTATGATTTCCTTTATGGATGAATCATAACTGCGGTAGTAGTGGCCCGATATCTTTGGGGGGGAGGTGGGCATTGCGGGAATATAGGGACAAGCCCAAGAAGAAATTTTTATTTAATTTAGGCTAATTATCACTGTATTTTACTGAGTAGTTTGACCATCCGTTGTGGATTCCAGTTAGCTTTCCTAAAGTGCCTCCTTTTTCTTGTTCTTAGACTTACTCATTCTAAATCCACTACTATACTTTTTTACTACATGCTAACACCACCACCACCACCACACCACAACAACAACAAAAACAAATACTACTTATACTTATGCTTCGCTTCACTCCCCTTTCTGTCCGACTTGTGCCAATACACTACCAGCGTTACCTTCTACCGCTGATTCATCCGTTTTTCTACATTTCTTTCGCTTTAGTTCCGTCCATGACCCCTCTCTCATATATATTGAGTCCTCACCTTCCTGTGTTGTCTGTGACCTGTAAATGGTCAAGTTGGTATCTGTAACATGTCTTAACTCTATCTATCCTATTTAAGGGTTATAGATATGAAAATGGTTACTTTTTTTTATTTTTTTATTATCACACTGGCCCCCCCCCCGCCATTCCCACCATGGCAAGGGTGGTGGCCCGAAGAAAAAGAAAAACTTTCACCATTCATTCACTCATCACTGGTCTTGCCAGAAGGTGTTGCTGTTACACTACAGTTTTTAAACTGCAACATTAACACCCCTCCTTCAGAGTGCAGACACTGTACTTCCCATCTCAGGGCTCAAGTCAGGCCTGCCGGTTTCATGACCCCTTCATAAAATGTTAAGTTGCTCACACTCCAACATGCACGTATGTATTAATAAACCATTTGTCTACATTCACTCCTTCCAAACACGCTCATCGCCTGCCTTGCTGGAAGTCAGCCCCCTTGCTCTAAAACATCCTTTTACCCCATCCCTCAACCTTTCTAGGCAGACCACCTACCCCGCCTTCCTTACCACTACAGAACTGATTACCATCTTGAAGTCATTCTGTTTCGCTCCTTTCTTCTCCACATGTCCGAAAACCACCTCAACAAACCCCTCCTCAGCCCTCTGGACATCAGTTTTGGTAAGCTGCACTCCTCATAACTTCCATACAACTGTATTCATCGGCATTATATTTCACAACCACACATTGCTCTCAGACATGACATCTCACTGCCTCCAGCACCTTCTCCTCGTGGCAACATTAATCTCCCATGCTTCAAAAAAATATTAAGTGCGTTTGGTATAAAAACTATACTCTCATAAATTTCCCCTCTTTGCCTCCTAAGGACATTTTTACATTTGTATCCGAATATATAAAAATATTTCTTGTATCCAGCTGTCACCCCAGTTTAAAGGTCTGTCATCCATATCAAGTTTATTTTCACTGCCTGAACACTGGTGACTGATACAATCCTCATACTGGAAAAAATTCCTCGTTGCCTCACATGCAGCAGAGAGAGGAATGAGGGAAAGGCCATGTGTACCTCACACTAACACATTAATAAATCTTGGGAAAGAGAATATATATATATATTATTGTATATATTTATATATTTATATATATATATAGTATATTTATATATATATATATATATATAATATATAATATATATATTTTTATATATAAATATATATATATTTATATATATATTTATTTATTTTATATTTTTATATATATATATATTCA